TGATCCCTCAGCTTGGAGGTTAGGACTTGAAGAAAAGCCCTTGTAGACTGAAGATTGATGACAAAGACCTTGCTTGAAGGCTGTGGAGATGGGGATTGATGCTGGCTGAAGCTTGTAGCTGTCTGGAGATGACTTGAAGATAGGTATTGATGCAGAGCTGCTGTGGCTGTTTATTTTTGCTGTATTTCATTTCTGATGTATTGATTGGTTTTCTGGACTGTATTGTTTGTTGTTTACCCTGTTGGGTTGAAAGTGAATCCTGTTCACTTTTGCCTATTGTTTTTTAGGTTCGAGGTTGAGTGGGACTCCCTTGCCTCGCTTGTATTGTTGCATTCATGCATTTTACTGCTTTACTGTATATATCTGCTTTTGTTTCTGTTTCCGTCTATTCCCTTAGGATCTCTGTTTCTCTCTGCGCAAGAGAGGAGCATGATAGACATTAGGTCTTAACCCATGCATGATAACATTAGGTTAGTTTGATTCCCTTCGCAACCGTAGGTTAGAGTTCTGTCTCTTCTTCCTCAAAACAAACAGAAAAATACAATAAAATTTCAAACACAATAAAAGACACTTCTTCCGTAAAAGAATGTGAACTCATCAAGACGTCATTTTTGTCCGCTTGGACCAGTAATCAGAAAAACCCTTTTTCAGAAGGAATAAAATCAACCAAGACAGACTTGTGTCGTACGTGGCCCGAACTACGTTGACTCTGATTTCTCGTTCCAGACGGGAATACGTAGGCATAAAGTGCGATACTTTGCCGAGTCATTTTATTTTCATTTTATTTTTCTTTTAACCCTTGACCTTTAGTTTAGATAGAATAACAATCCATACCCGAAAACAAGCGTGGATCCCGTCGAGTACAACGGACGTGAGGGGTGCTAATACCTTCCCCTTGCGTAACCGACTCCCGAATCCAGGTTTTGGTTGCGACGACCATACCTTTCCCGTGTTGTGCGAGGTTTACTCTGAGCGTTCCCTTTCCCTCCCGTGGGATAAATAACGCACGGTGGCGACTCTTCTGTCAGCCGGCGCCGATTTTCGCAGTAGCGACAAAGGGCTTCGAGAGTTCCCGCGCTGATTTCTCCGCTGAGGAGAGCGGGAGGAGGTGTCGTGCTCCAGCGCCCCAATGCGCTCGTTCTATTGGAACAACATCTGGTTCTTCTGGTTGATGGCCGCAAAGAGAGCGACCATCGTCGGGTCCGTGCCGGCTGGAGTGGGGATCGGCTGGAACACTACTGGACTTCTCGCTCGCGGGACGACATGGTGCGGCGCGTCCTTGGAGGATGGGGAGGCAGTCTGGCCGTCCCTGACATCGGCTTCACGGGGCTGAGATGTCCCCCCCCCCCTGACCGTCGTCGTTGGTGACGGGGACGAGGGTGGACACTACAAGAAATATTGTATTTTCCCAAGTGATATTCACGTCACTAACATAAAAATCACTTCACTGGCCAATGGTTGCGACGTGGGTAAAACACGCCGGAAATGCAATGGTGGGAACTTTTTCCCACGTGGAAAACACGTCACAAAGTTGTGACAGAGTTCCCACGTCGCAAATAACAAAATAAAGAGGAAAAGTTCCCACGTGAAAACCAAGTCACTAATTAGTGACGTGAAAATCATGTGGGAACTTACCTTTACCAACTTGCTCTGCACGCGTTCCTGACACAAAGTAATTTTATTACCCATGTGATTCCCACGTCACTAATTAGTGACATGGGATCCACTTCACTATTAAATTTAATTATAAAAAAAAATATTAACTAAAAACAACTATAAAATTAAAATAAATATTAAATATTAAATATATATTCATATTTAATACACATTCACTAATATTTAATACATATTCACTAAAATATTCATATTTAATACATATTTATAATAAATATTTAAAGTATAATTATATTAAATATAATATAAATTCACTAAAATAATATATTATACTAATAATAACATATTTAAAGTATAATTAATACATATTCATTATTTTTAAAAATCTGTTTTTCTAAAATAACACATTTAATATATATTCATTATTTACTAAAAATAACATATTTAATACAGATTCATTATTTTTAATAAATATACTTTTTCAAAAAGTAATACATTTAAAAATAACACATTTTAAATAAAATACATATTCTTTATGTTTTTAAAAAATATATTTTAATTTTTTCTATTTACAATATTATTTACTAAAAATATTTTTAAAAATTCTATTTTTCCTAACATAATAAAAATTCTGTTTTTAAAAATTAAAAATACATAACATATTTAATTTGTTTCTAATATATAATAAAGTTTAAATATTCTATTTTTCTAATAAATATTCTGTTTTCTAATACATAAAAATTTTCTAATACATAAAAATTAAAAATACATAACAAAATTTCTGTTTTTCTAATAAATATTCTATTTTTCTTATTTGTTTATAATAACAATATATTTGTTTCTAATATAATAAATATTCTGTTTTTCTAATTAAAATTATATAATATATAATACATTTTATATTTGTTTCTAATTATTCTGTTTTTCTAATACATGCATCTTATAAATACATTTTATACACTTAATATATAATATATTTTATAAATATTCTGTTTTTCTAATTAAAAATATTCTGTTTTTTTAATAACAATATACACCTATACACAACATATTTTATTTTTCTAATAACAATACATAATATATTTTTTTCAAAAATATATTCTAATAACAATATATTTTATTTTTTCTTTCAACAACAACAACACAATATACACTTCCATCTAATAAAAAAAATTCTAAAATTTTCTAATAAATATTCTAAAATAATATTCTTATATATCAAATATAACCAAATTTTAATGCATAAATACCTCTCAAGAGCTTCCAATGGAACTCCTAACTTAATCAATATTTAGATATAAAAAAAAAATTATCAGTTCATAAAAAAAAAATTTAAAATAAATGGTAACTCACAACACAACATATAAATGTCTCACCTTAAATTTGCAAAATTTTCGTTACACTTGGAGCTGGAAGAATGAAACTCTGGAAATGAAAATATGAGGGTGAAATGAAAATGAGAATGAAGCTGGGAGAATAAAGAAGGTGAAGAAACGAAGAAAGAAGGTGGAGTGAAACGTTGTGGGTGAGGTTTCTGATGTTGAAAATATATAATGTCAGTTGCGACGTGGGGAACACGTGGGAAGATACCCACGTGAACTCCACGTCGGAAAGATTAATAATTCCAACAAGTTGCGACGTGAAAACAACTTCGGAAGTTTGCGACGTGTAAAGTGGGTCGGAACATTCCCCAATATAAAATTATATCCGTTGCGACGTGAAAAGCATGTGGGTAATTTGTGACATGCTTCTCACGTGGGAAACAAAAGAACTTTTTTGAATTTAAAGTTACCTTGTGATTTACACGTCAGAATTTGTGAAAAATTCAAACTTCCCTCCATCTAAAAATTCCAAAATTTCGTTGAAAATTTTAGGATAACAAAATTTATTAATTAAATAATTTAGTGACGTGGGAATCACTTGGCAACAAATTTTTTTCCCCACGTTATTACCACGTCACTAAATCACTAGGGAAAAACAACATTTTCTTGTAGTGGGAGTTGTGAACAGCGTCGTCGTGGCGTGGGTTAGTCATGATTCTGGAGTTTTGAGAGATGAAGCTTTGGTTCTCTGTTCGGAGGAACGGGGAAGCTTAGTTTTCCACAGACGGCGCCACTGATCGTACCTGACCAGAAGGGGCCGATGATCTGCCACGCGTCGTCGATCTGGAAGCTGCTCGCCTAAGTGTTGAAGAGGAATGGGTGTCCCTGAAACACACTTCGATGCTAAAGTAAGCGACGAGCAGAGTGGAAGCAAGTACAAAGAGAGAGTAAGAGAGTTAAGTTACCTGACCCTCTAATGAAGAGGGTATTTATAGTGAGCCTCCGGCGCAGGGCCAACGGTTATCTAGCACTGGGCTGGACTGCTAGGCCCAATGTTAGTAACTGCTAGGGCTGACATGACGTCGTGGAGACCGGGACGTGGTCTTCGCCCTAGGATAACTGTTTTGCACTATCCGGGAGGAGGAAGACCGAATCTCCGGGACGTGGGTAGTTACTTTATGACGTGTCCCTGCGTAAGGGACACGTGGAGAACGTGTGGGGAAGGCCCGAGGAGTTCCGGGCAGACAGAGGCCTGCTAGTCGAACACGAGGGTCCTGTCCGACAACGGGGAAAAAGGAGATTGCCTGGTCGGATGTGGGGACCTTTCCCCGACAGCTGTTGATGTATGCCCGACAGGGAGGAAGGTTGTGCCCGACGGGTCTTCTGCCCGTCAAAGTGGTTCAGATGGAGCCCAACCGTAGTGAACCTTGGGTCTGCCAGAAAGTGGGCTAAGCGTCGGCCAAGTCCAGAACAAATTTAATCCGGTCATTATTATAAAAAAAAATATTTTAAATCTTAGTTATTATTATAAATAAAAATTGTTTATTTTGAATTTAATTAATATTTATATTATTATTATTATACTATAGTTCGAAAATATTTAATATAGATAGCTGGTTCACTAATTATAACTAAAAATATTATAACAAATTTATTTTGTTTGTATATGAAATAAAAAATAAAAATTACATTTAACTCATTTTATTTTAATCTGAAAGAAAATAGTTATTTTTTATCGTAATTGTAGTGCAGTATAATTTAAGAAAGTAATGTATTTTAATTGTCTAAGGTTACTTTAGAGCAGTAGTAAATGCCTGCCTATTGCAATTCAATGCAGTGATTCTGTTGCAGCGGCACCCTGTAAAAATTGCACCGCTCACTCAATACTTAAGGCATGATGATGTGTAAGAATGAAGTGTTCGATAAGCATGCATGTCGAAGAATGTCCACGTTTCATAAACTCACATTCATCGTGTCCACCATTCAACCTTCTCTACATTTCTATAAATCCCCACGTAGCAAAGCAATCTCCATTCTCCTCATAACAAACTCACTTCACCTAACATGGCAAACCCAAATTCCTACTGCTTCTCTCTTCTATCCCTCTTGCTCCTCTTCACGTCTGCATGCTCAGCGCGCCAGTTGCCACGTCAGCCAAGCGAGCTCTACGAGTGCCAACTGGATACCATCCATGCACGGGAGCCCGACAACCGCTATGATTCCGAAGCCGGTTTCACCGAAACATGGGATTCTACCAGCCCTGACCTACGTTGTGCTGGTGTCTCTGTCCTCAAACGCACCATCAATCCCAATGGCCTGAGTTTGCCATCTTACGTTGCATATCCTGAACTCCATTTCGTAGAACAAGGTCAAGTTCTAGTTACTTCATTCACTAGTTAATTTAATCCATCAATTATATTTCTAATATATGCAGTATGCATGCATGCACAGGAATGGGAGTGTTGGGAATGGCGATTCCTGGTTGTGCTGAGACATATGAAGAGCCACAATGGGAAAGAAGAGGAAGGCCACAACTACAGCAGGACCGTCACCAAAAGGTCCGTTACGTGAAACAGGGTGACCTTATCGCTATTCCACCTGGTGTTCCTTACTGGACTTACAATTACGGTGATACCCCGCTCGTCATCGTCACTCTCCTCGACACTGCCAACAAACTAAACCAACTCGATCGAGTCCCCAGGGTAAGTCAATTATTCATCCACAAATTGATACAATATAGCTTGTAACTACTATTTTGATGGTTAATGCAGAGATTCTATCTTGGTGGAAATCCAGAAGTAGAGCCCTCTGTAAAACAGAGTGGAAGAAAGCATGGTGAAGAAGAGACTAACAACATGTTCAGTGGCTTTGATTCGCGTTTCTTAGGTGAAGTTTTGAAAGTGAAAGAGAGTATAATTAGGAAGCTTCAATCTCCGGATGCTGGACAGGGGAAGCACCAGATTATTCACGTGAAAGGAGGTCTTAGTCTTATAAGACCACCTTTGGAACCAGAAATAAGATCAGAAGAAGAGAGAACACACGGAAAGCGTGAAGAAAAAGTAGTAGAGGAAGAAGAAGAGGTTGAAGATGAGCCTGGTAAACGAGAACATCGTGAATGGCGAAAAGAGACAAGAGAACACAAAGGTGAAAGTAAGGGAGAAGAAGCTGAAGTGGTTGAAGAGAAAGAAACAAAAACAAAAGAGCGTCGCCGTGGTGAAAGAGAAAGTAGTAGACATGGTGAGAGAAGAGAAGTGGAAGAAGAAGAAGTGAAGGAAGAGAAACAAACAAGAACAAAAACTAAAGAACGCGAGGGGCAAAAAGGTAACTTCCTGCAGGAAACCATTTGTACATTGAAACTTCACGAGAATCTCGCGGATTCTTCACGCGCCGACGTATTCAATCCAAGAGCCGGTCGCATAACATCAGCCAACAGTTTGACTCTCCCAGTTCTCAAGTTGCTTCACCTCAGTGCCCAATGGGTTAAACTCTACAAGGTATGATATTTCAAATTGTGGTGTTTCAATCTGTCTCAAATGTCGAGTCAGTATGCCACGTCTCACTTATTCATTGTTTGTTGCAGGATGGTATATTTGTTCCGCACTGGAACATGAATGCGAACAGCGTGATATACGTAACGAGAGGGAGAGGAAGGGTTCAAGTGGTGAATAGCGAGGGAAAATCCGTGTTCAAAGGAGAGGTGAGAAGGGGAAAATTGTTGGTGGTGCCACAGAATTTTGCGGTGGCTGAACAGGCCGGGAATGAGGGGTTGGAATATGTAGTTTTTAAGACGAATGATAGAGCTGAGATGAATACAATGGTAGGACGTGATTCTGCGATTAGTGCTACGCCTGCGGAAGTTCTTGGTCATGTTTTTGGGCTTAGTCCACAGGAAGTGAATGAGCTCAAGAATAATCGGAATGAGGGGGTTTTGGCTACTCCTGATTCTCGAATTCAGGATGATTTCATAAAAATGGTGTAATGTAATCTTATATTGTAAGTTGTTATTACTATATTATGTAAAATAAAGGAAGAACTTGTGTAACAGAAGCATAACACGAATAAATTTTGGAGTTTTTTGATGTCAGTATAACTCTATTTTTATTTACAGAAATGATATAGTGACACTATGTTTCTATTTTGTTATATTTTGATGCATTGGAATCTGTGCTACACTTGTAATGAATGTTATTTGCATCAAACCTGCATCAAATAGGTAATCTAAGAGCATTTTGCAAAATAGTTCCATTGCCTTCAAACCTGCAGGCCAGATATGGATCTGTCTGATCTTGCCAAGCTATCTCATGATGATAATGAAAAGCTTCATGAAGAGATTATTGAAGCTATTAACTCTTGCGACGGGAATAAAAGCTCAGGTCAGGACGAGTTTAACCTGACTTTTATTAAGAAAAGCTGGGAGGTGATTTGAGTGGAGGTTACAAACTGCATAATGGAGTTTCACCATCCTGCATTCTTGCCAAAAGCAGCATGCTCTTCCTTTATTGTTCTCATCCCAAAAAGAGACCTACCACAAAATTTGAATGATTTCAGGCCAATTAGTTGGTATCATATTTGAGACCTACCAAAAAGATTTGAGACCTACCAAAAAGAGACCTACCACAAAATTGGTATCATCTATAAAATTGTATCCAAAATCTTAGCTGCTAGACTTTGCAAGACTCAGCAAGGTGATTGGCAAATTAGTCTCTGCATTGCAAACAAATTTTATTCCGGGACGTTCTTATTCGTATTAGTGGCTCGATGTTTAGCTTGTTTGGTCAAGAAGGATGTCAATAGAAACATTCTAAGGGGTTCTGAGGTTGATGAAAACATTTTATGACATTCTTCAATTTGCCGGGTTCGAATTAATTTCTGGTTTGCAGATTAACTTTTGGAAAAGAAACTTATATGGGATGGGCTTAGAAGAATCATTTTTAAGAGCAGCATCTCATTTCATGGCGTGTAAAATTGGTGAGTTTCCATTCAAATTTTGTTGGAGGCAAACACAACATCATTTTTAAGAGCAGCATCTCATTTCATGGCGTGTAAAATTGGTGAGTTTCCATTCAAATTTTGTTGGAGGCGAACACAACAACATTTCTTTCTGGCAACCTGTCACTGATTGCATAAAGGCAAGACTTTCATCTTGGAGGGGCAGGATGCTCTCAATTGGAGGAAGAGTAATTTTGATCAATTTTGTGATAGAATCAATTCAGTATCTAAAAGAGAGATTCAGAAACAATACAAGAAAACTGATAAAATTACTGATTTAATTAAAGAAATAGACTAGAGTTCAAATGGGATCTAACAAAATCAGTACAAAGAAATTGCAGAATACAATAAAAAAAAGAAAGATGATAGAGGCACTTTGAGAGGCCTTTTTTCTCCTAGGGGTCAGATACAATGGAATATTTGCGTACCTCACAAATGATTGGGACTCAATCATTTATGGAATTATTCCTAGGTCCTATTACCATACAGCTGCTGCCAGCTGTCTCAACCCATGTGCTACTGCTAACAGAATTTGTCCTATTCTCTCTCTTTCTCTTTCTTACGTTTCCTCACATATTGCCTCCCATATCTACCAATTCCCCTCCCTTCAAAAACTTCCTTGACCTCAAGGAAGAAAAATGGAAATTCCTCTTTTAACCTTTCAGCCAACTCCCAAGAATTCTCAAATTCTGAAAGGTCTTTCCATTTCACCAAAACCTCCCAATCCCCTTGATCATTCCTCTTGTAATCCATTCCTTTCTCAGGCACAGGTTCTAAATACCAATCCTCATTCATACAATCTGGCAGAGGTTGGGGTTCTGCAGAGACACTAATAACTTTTTTCAGCAAGGAAACATGGAATACCGGATGTACTCTAGTATCATCAGGCAGCTTAAGCTGATAAGCCACCTCTCCCACCCTTTTAACTATTTCATAAGGTCCATAAAATCTAGGGCTCAACTTCTGGTTCAACCTTTTAGCTAAACTCTTCATTTTGTAAGGCTGGATTTTTAAGAAAACCTTATCTCCTACTTCATAAACCATCTCCCTCCTGTGCTTGTTTGCTTGACTTCTCATCATATCCTGTGCTTTGAGTAACTGTTCCTACAGTTCCTTGATCATCAAGTTTCTTTCCGTTGTCAATTTACTGATTTCATCAACTGCAGATCCAGGGGTGTCTCCTCTAATTAACACTGGAGGTGCTCTTCCATATAAAGCCTCAAATGGAGTGGTCTTTAGTGAGGCATGGTAGTTGGTGTTATACCAATATTCTGCCCATGCTAACCACTTAGGTCATTGCTTAGGTTTGAGCCTTGTAACACACCTGATATATGTCTCCAAGCACCTGTTGACTACCTCTGTTTGGCCATCAGATTGAGGATGGTAGGCACTGCTATATTTCAACTTAGTCCCTGCCAGCTTAAATAGCTCAATCCAGAAATGGCTAAGAAACACTTTGTCTCTGTCAGAAACTATGGAACTAGGGAATCCATGCAATCTAACCACTTCTTGAAGGAAAACTTCAGCAACACTCTTGGCTGTATAAGGATGGTTAATTGGAAAAAAATGAGCATACTTAGAAAGTCTATCTACCACCACCATAACAGTGTCTACACCTTGCACTTTAGGTAAACCCCCTATGAAATCCATAGAAATATCACTCCATACTTGTGTGGGAATAGGTAAAGGTTGTAGTAATCCTCCAGGTGTCAATGTTTGATACTTATTCCTTTGACACACTTCACACGCCTGCACATACTCTTGAATTCTATTTCTCATACCCTCCCAATATACCACACTACTAATCCTTTTGTAAGTCCTGAGATAACCAGAATGCCCTCCTACTGCTGTATCATGGAATTCATTCAGAATCCAACTAATTCGAGGGGATCCTTTAGGCACCATTATTCTTCCTTCATAATAAAACCTTCCTCCCTTAAGTTGAAACCCCTTCTGACTAAGAGGATTTGCTAATAAGGTCTGCACTATCCCCTTCAGATTCTCATCCCATTGTACCTCCTCTTCTAATCCATTCCAAGCTTCACTTTGCAAAGTATTTATGTGAGAATACTGCATCTGCCTGGAAAGGGAATCTGCTGCACTATTTTCCTTTCCAGGCTTATACTTAACCTCAAAATCATATCCTATCAATTTAGATAGCCACTTCTGCTGGTCTTCCCCCATCACCCTCTGCTCTGTTATAAACTTTAAGCTTTTCTGGTCTGTATGCACCTTGAAATGCTTGCCTAATAAATAGGGTCTCCATTTCTAAATAGTTATGACCATTGCCATGAGATCTCTTTCATAAACTGACTTTTGTTGGGCTTTAGCTGCTAGAGTTTGACTCATATATGACACATGTCTGCCCTCCTGCATTAACACTGCTCCAATGCCTTTTCCAGAAGCATCAGTCTCCACTACAAACTCTTTTTCAAACTCTGGCATAATCAAAACAGGGAGGGTGTTCATGGCTATCTTCAGTTCATCAAAAGCCACTTGTGCCTCTATACTCCACAGGAAACTGTCTTTCTTCAACAACTGAGTAAGGGGCCAGGCTATTTTTCCATGATTCCTTACAAACTTCCTATAGTAGCCACTTAGACCTAAGAAGCCTCTTAATCCTTTTATATTTTTTGGAACAGGCCACTTAATCATATCTTCTATCTTTCTGGGGTCTGCTGCTACTCCTTTGGCAGATATTAAATGCCCTAGATACTCCACCTCTTCTTGACCAAAAGAACATTTCTTCTTGTTAGCAAATAGTTGGTTATCCTTCAACACTTGCAATATTACAGTTAAATGCTCTCTGTGTGCTTCCTTACTCCTACTATATATGAGGATGTCATAAAAAAAAAACCAAGCAAAATTTCCTTAAGAATGGCCTGAGAACTTCATTCATGAGGGCTTGGAAAGTGGAAGGAGCATTTGTCAAGCCAAAAGGCATGACAAGATACTCATAGTGCCCTTCATGTGTTCTGAATGTTGTCTTGGCTATGTCTTCATCCTTCATCCTAATCTAGTGATAACCAGATTTCAAATCCAGTTTGGAAAAGATGACTGCTCCACCCAATTCATCTAATAATTCCTCAATGATGGGAATGGGGAATTTATTAAGTATGGTCACCTTGTTTAGAGCTCTGTAATCTGTGCAAAATCTCCACCCTCCATCTTTTTTCTTTACTAACAGCATTGGGCTTGAAAAAGGACTGGTACTGTGCCTTATGATACCAGCCTGGAGCATTTCTCCTAAAAAATTTTCTATTTCATTTTTTTGATAGAAAGGGTACCTATAAGGCCTCAAGTTTGGAATGGCAGCATTAGGTTTAAGCAAAATAACATGGTCATGTTCTCTCCTGGGTGGTAGACCTTTAGCTAAATGAAATACTTCTTCAAATTTCTCCAAAGTCTCATCCCACTTTATTAACTCAGCATACCTTTCTGCTGCAACCATTTGCACAGTTTGCACATAGAATCCCATCCCCTCATCCTTCAAAGTTCTTATCATTTCTTTCATAGAAACTTGTTGATTGCTTAATGTAGGATCTCCTTGAATACTATACTTCTGTCCACCCCATTCCCACATAAGGCATAATTTTCCAAAGTTAGCCTCTATATTGCCCAAACTAGCTAACCAGTCCATTCCTAGCACCATATCAGTCCCTCCTAACTCCATCAAAAAGAAATTCTGGCTGAATTCCACTCCTTGCAACCAGAACTTCAATTTTTCACACACCCCCTGATATTCCATCTTCTCTCCGTTCCCAACCTCAATTGCATATGGTGGTGTTTCCACCAACTGTAATCCCATCATTTCCACTAGCCTAGCATCAATGAAATTGCTATTTTTCTCGGAATCAATTAGTGTCAACAGTTCCCTTTCTTTGACTGTAGCCTAGACCTTGGACGATTTATTAGAAGTTAACCTGTTGCACCCTAAAATTTGCCCTACCCCTGCATATATCCTTCATCTGTCATACCCCAAATTTGTCC